ATGCTAGATAATTTAGGATACATAATCTAATTGAGTAATTACATACCGAAGATCAAGGACACGAGATCCCTCTATTTTCAAAATGTCGGCAACAGGTGCAGAATAATTGTTTCCCCATAAACCTCTGAACATGTAATGAAGAACCTGCAATCCATCTATTGCTGTATTTGATGCTTCACGGAAAATACCAGATGAATTATTGGTGTTAGTGGAAGTGGACGATGACACGGAATTTACAGAGGAAGCGCGAGAGGATTCTTTGGTAGAAGGGCTTCGGCTTATTATGATTTTAGGTTTTGAGTTACGTGGTCGTGGTTTTGAAATAAATCCACCCATTATCGTATATTATTGGAAGGGAATTGTAGTTAATGATTAAGGATCGTTGAAATATAAAGTTTGAAATTTAAATTTTTGCTTATGAGGGATTGAATGTAAAAAAAAAAAAAAAAAAAAAAAAAAAAAAAAAGAAATAATAATATATATATATATATACACTGTATATACTATATATATATAGACATATATATATGCATATATACACAATATGTGATTTTAAACCTCGAGATAATGGATTATCAAGATAATTCATACATATTAAACAAAGATGCTAATGACGATAAGGAAAGAGGAAAGTGCATGTCTTTTGAGTGGCATCCATGAAAAGATTAGCACAATGATGGTTCATTAAATGCTAGTTGAATTGATATACAAAACGTACGTGCTCATGAAATTTTGCCTAAAGCAAGTTAGCTTGGGCCTTGTAATAAAAAAAAAATAAATTTACCATTTTTGATACACGGTCTGTACGTTTTATCATACGTGATTATAATAATAAAATTTATTCTATTCTATTTCTTTACAACCCGTCAAGTTTTTCTAACTTCAAGGTTGAATATATTCTAGGTTACAATATAGATCTGTTGTGTAGTACAAATGGTCTATTTCGTTTGATACTACTACTTTTTAATAAATTCGACGCTATCCAAACCTTTTAACATGAAACAATATAAATACGAAAAATCCCGGTTTCTCCGCTAATTTAAGTTACATAATTTTTATGTAAGCAATATGGAAGCACGAAATGCTTTCGTAAAGAATTTACATAATTTTATATAAATACAAAAAGGAAAGAAAAGTATTGTACTCGTGCATATCTTAGCAGAGTTCATATGTTGGTTGTTTAAAAATTTCTTCAATTTCATTAATTACTCATCATAAATGCATGTGTGATAGTGTGATATTGAAACTTCATTGTAGCATTTATATTTATGCGTTTACTACGCGTGCGAAGAATAACAAAGTCTTGGAAAATTGTTTCAAATTTTCTATAGATGGAACCTAAACTCTAAACTATGCGTTTAGGTTAAAGTATAAACCCTAAACTACGGCATAAACTCTAATCTAGACTTGTATTGATTAGTAAAATTTTTATCTTGCAGAATCGGCGCAATGATTAATAATTGTAACCTTAATAAAAACAAACCAATACAATCCTTTTTTTGTTTATTCAATAAAAATGGTGCAGGTAAAGTAAAAATTCGGAAATCTTTATGGTTAAGATTTACAGCTTTTCATTAGGAAATACTAATTTAATCCACTTATTTACGTATATGTTGTTCCGAAACCTGCAGTCGCATCAATTTATTAATTTTCAAATGCTCTATTCAGTAGTCCATTATTTTTACAATGCAAAATAATGTGCTGATAAATAGTGTACGTACAAGGCTTAGGGTGATATTTTTGGATTATTCCTTTTAAAGATACTTTAATGAACTTTAAAAATAAAAAAAACGAATTCTTAGAAATCACTCATATATATAACCATGAATATTGGGGGTTTTTTTTTTTTATTGGCATGCCTAAGAATTATACTAATATAAGTGTATTGAACTTTCTTGCTGCGCTATCCACTTTTATTGAGTTTTATTGGTTAAACTTTCTTTGACCAATAATATTTGCAATGGTTTGTAGAAATTTTTCATTTGTAATCTTTATTAGAATTCCATCTATAACTCTTATATATTTGTAGAAGTGACTCTACGTTCTAGATTTGGCGGTCAAGTATATAAATAAAAATAACTTGGTTGCGCCATCAAATTTTAATTTGACCTAGTTGGCATTTAACTGGCTAACCAACTCGAATTAGCTAGACGTTTAATTACGGCCGTTTGCCTATTAAGGAGTATCAGATGATCGATAGGTATACCGGGTACCGTATAAGCGCGAAATAACGCATGTGGGCATTATTTTAAAAATCATGTTCAAAAATAGCATACATGGTATCAAATTAGTGTTCATGAGTATCCTAATACAACTAGCAATTGTACCCGGATTGCGATAACGGTTAGCCGGGTAGATGTATCAAATGGGTCTTAATATTTATTAGTCTAAATATTTAGAGTAAGCTATGTTCATGTTTATTATTTTTTTCGGAGTTATGACATTTACCGTACAGCGCTGTATACAATATCTCCTGAAAAAGTATCCCCTTTAAGTAGTATCGGGTATTATTCAATTGCAAATTTTAACATTTTTGAAAAATATCCCGGTACTACTCAATCATATAGTAATTTATTGGTGGCAATTACTTCACTTACAGTTATTTTACCGATAAGTCTCTTAACCTACATCATTTGGTGTGACAATTTAACATATGATTAGTTTTAGCATATATAATTTGTAAATTGTCACTTATGTGATGTCGGTTAGCTTGTCGGTAAAATAATTGTTGGTGAAATAATACAGACCCATAATTTATCACCGAAACAATGATCTTGTATACGATCAACCCACGTGATCAATACTCTCCTCAAAGTACATCCTTCGTATAGTACCTCTCTTCACATAGTATCCCCGGGGTATTATTTAATTTATCTTGGAATTTTTGAAAAAGACCTGGGGTACTGTATGCAGTGCTGGACGGTATTAATTTAGTAACTTGGTGAAACTAAACTACCCCGCTCGATTTGGACCGTTTGACGATCATTTCTTAATTTGGGGGTTCGCTAAAGCGGGTAACTATTAAATCGACGGTCCAGGAGGGTCATACAGTCAATTGATCATCTAATCAACGCAGCCAATCAACGCATCCCATACAAAATTAGTTGACCGATATA